ACTTTATACGGATTTATTTAAAGCAGCTTAAGGGGGCAACATAACAAAACTTCACTTTTGTTATGTTGCAGCGTGATATTACAATTGTTTAAATTCATTTATTTCTCATTAATCTACACTCTGTACCTCATAATGACAATGTGAAAACTTTGAAAAGTAAATAAACAAAAACTGAAATATCACATTTACATAAGTATTCAGACCCTGTACTCAGTACTTAGTTGAAGCACCTTTAGCAGCATTTACAGCCTCGAGTGTTTCTAGGTATGACACAAGCTTTGCACAGCAGGATTGGGGGATTTCTGCCGTTCTTCTTTGCAAATCCTCTCAAGCTCAGTCAGGTTGGATGGGGACCGTCGGTGGACAGACATTTTCAGGTTTCCATTTTCATCAGACCAGAGAATCTTGTTTCTTGTCTTCTCAGAGTCTGAGGCTCCTTTAGGTGCTGTTTTGCAAACTCCAAGCGGGCTTTTATGTGTTATGCACCGAGGAGAGGCTTGCGACTAGCCTCGAAAGCCCAGATCAGTGGAGTGTTGCGGTGATGTTTGTCCTTCTGTAGGTTTCTCCCATCTGCACATATGATCATGGAACTGAAGTAAAGTGACCATCAGCTACTTGGTCACCAGTCTAGACATGGCCCTTCTCCATCAGGTGCTCAGTTTGGCTAGGAGGCCAGCTCTAGGAAAAGTCCTGGTTGTGCCAAACATCTTCCATTTGAGAATTATGGAGGCCACTGTGCTCTTGGGAACCTTCTGTGCCGCGATACAGTCCTGTCTGTGAGTGCTGCGGGCAGTTCCTTTTATAGAGAGGTGTGTGCCGGTCCAAATCATGTCCAATCAGTTTAATTGACCACAGGTGGACTCCAATCAAGATGTAGGACCGTCTCAGCAATGATCAGGAGAAATGAGAGGCACCTGAGCTAAATTTCAAACGTTGCTGCTTATACTTATGTAAATGTGATATTTCAGTTTTTTCTTTTTAATAAATTTACAGACATTTCTAAAATTCTGTTTTCACTTTGTCATTACGAGGTACGGAGAGTAGATTAATGAGAAAAAAAATGAATTTAAACAACTGTAGTGTCAGGCTGCAACATAACAACATGTAAAAAAGTGAAGGGGGTCACTTTATTAAACTTTATTAAATGTATATATATATATATATATATATGAAGAGTTTGGGTCCAAAACTCTATAAATCCATTTTGATTAATTTGAGTAAAAATGTGTTTTCTTTATCAAGAAAATGGCAAGATGAAAACCACTATTTTCTGTTTACAACATCTTTAGGTTATAATAACATAAAAAATTCTAATCCAGATTTGGATTTTCAAAGATTTATTATAAAATGTTATTATTATTTTTCCCAAAATGCAATAAATCCATGACACGTTTTTTTCTTCAAAATGCAGTAAATCCATTGAATCAATATAGAAGTTATTTTTCATATTGAAACTGTTGAAAATACACTACATAGTAAGTGGATCACAGTGCGTGGAATGGTGTGCTGGTTATTTTTTCAGCCACAGGATTTAAATAAAAAAAAACACAGTGTGTTTTAGTTCTCTCAAAAATTACTTTTTAAAAAAATTTCCATTATTACCATTATTTCTGAATGCAATAACCTAATTGGGACTGATACACCTATGTATTTTTTCTCTCTCTCAAAAATCACATTTTGACCCAATGTGACTTATTTTGCATTATTGTTGTTGTTGTCCTTTTTCTTTTTTTTCTTTTTTTACATTACTTCTGAATGAAATAGCAAAGTGACATATACACTTACATTTATAACAATAAATAATTGTGAGATAAAAACTCAGAATTGTGACTTTTTCCTCACAATTCCGGGTTTACATCTTGCAATTCTGTTTTTTTCCTGCCACAAAAATGATAATTTGCGACTTTTTATCTCACAATTCAGACATTTCTTCTCAGTTTTATATCTCACAATTCTTTATATTCTGCAATTCAAATGTGTCTTTTCTCTCAAAAATGCAATTTTGACTTTTTTTCTTTACATTTTTTTCATATTATTTCTGAATGCAATAACGAAATGTGACTTATACACTGGTGCAACTTTTTTTTCTGTCAAATGCCATTTTGACCTGTTACAACTTATTCTCCATTTTTCCCCCATTTTGTTAAAACTTTTTTTACATTTTTACAGTATTTCTGAAAGTCATTGTTTCAGTTTTTTGGCTTATTTTCTGGAAAATATGGTACTGAAAAAAAGCATTGAAAAACTATTATGACAGAAAAAGGCCTTGAAATGCTGCGTTCCTGAACAATCCAATAACGCTGGGGCCAAAGATGATCTTGATTCAATAGAAGCAGATAAAAGACATTTGAGCTAAAAAACATGTTTACCTCCCATGAAGTGTGTGTGTGTGTGTGTGTGTGTGAGAGAGAGAGTGTGTATGTGTGTGTGTGTGTGTGTATGTGTGTGTGAGAGAGAGAGAGTGTGTGTGTGTGTGTGTGTGTGTGTGTGTGTGTGAGTGAGTGTGTGTGATCTAGTGTGTGTGTGTGTGTGTAAGAGAGAGAGAGTGTATATTAAAAACAACTGGATGTTCAGTGCTGCGATTCATTTCTGATGGGTTAAAGATGAGGTCTGCAGATCTGTACGTCACACGCTTCAATGCATTACAATCAATGACATAATTCATATTCAGTATTATCATTGATTTAACACTATTAGATGAGAACATAAACTAGGACTGATCTGAATAATGACTCTATTGTCTTCTGCAGAGCTGCTTTACTACTACGAAGTAAAAATATGTCAAAATTGTGAGATAAAAACTTATAGAATTGTGAGAAACTATCTTGCAATTCTGACAAAAGTCTGACTTTCTTTCTTGCAATTCCGAGTTTACATTTACATTTATTTATTTAGCGGATGCATTTATCCAAAGTGACTTACAAATGCGGAATACAACAAGTTCATTTCTCGCAATTCTGTTTTTATTTTATTTTCACCGCAGATTACAAAATTAAAAGGGTAATTGCAACTTTTTGTCTTGCGATTATAAATATTTTCGTGCCGTTTGAGGTTATATCTTGCAATTCTGTGGTTATATTTCTCTGAATAGCAAGGGCAAAAAATCTGAATTGTGAGTTAAAAAGTCAGAATTTCCTTTTTATTTTTAAAGTCATAATTCCAAGATATAAAATCAGAATTCTTACTTTTTGTTACATTTCTGAATTCAGATATCATATCTTGCAGATCAGTTCTTTTTCTTTCCACGACAGAATAAAATAATAAAAAAGGTCATTTAAACTTTGTCACAAATCTGACATCAAAATCTTACAAAAAAAATTTCTTAAAAATCTGCATTTATATCTCATAATTTTAAAACAAGTTTATGTCTTGTGATTCTGACTTTATATTTCTCAGAATTGCGAGAAAAAGTCTCATAAATCCTCAGAATTGTGAAATGAAAAAGTCACAATTACCTTTTTATTTATTTTTTTTAAAGCCAGAATTGCGAGATATAAAGACTTGTTCTTGCAGTTCAAAGTTTACATCTTGCAATTCTGTTTTTTCCTTTTCTTTTTAGAATTCCGTGTTTATATCTTTCAATGAGTGTGTGTGCGTGCGTGCGTGCGTGCGCGTTTTTGTGACAAATGAGGACATAAATGTGTATAATGACAAAGGTATGACAGGTATTACAAGGAGAAGGTGACTTTTCAGGACATTACTCCATGTCCCCACTTTTCAAAACACTTATAAATCACACAGAATGGAGTGTATTGAAAATCTGAAATAGCAGAAAGTCTCCTGTGAGGGGTAGGTTTAGGGGTAGGGTTGGTGTAGGGCAATAGAATATACGGTCTGTACAGTATAAAAACCATTACGCCTGTGGAGAGTCCCCACTTTTCACAAAAACAAACCTGTGTGTGTCTGTGAGTGTGAGTGTGTGTGTGTGTGTGAGAGAGCGTGTGGG